GCTTTTGTAGTGTGTAGTTTTTTACACACAGTGGTTACACAAGTGAGGTCTGGGTATATGTTTTAAATCTGAAGCATCTCAATGGAATCCAGCTAAGAAAGAGATTTTGTTTAATAATTCATGCATCCATACTGATAAGAGAGAAGAGAGGTGTTAAGATACAGGCAATTAGTCTATAGCACTAAATGAGCTCTGTCTATTCTAGAAGTTTACGGACTGCACAAAAGGTTAAAGGTCCCCTGAAATGCTTAGAAACAGGCAGCATTACTCTATGTGTTGACATCATTTTAACTGAAACAGGAAGACAGGGCGGGACATATCAAGCAGCCCCGCCCCTTTTTAAAATAGCCAATAGCGTTCGTTTATATCACAGCTTGGACTAGAGCCGTTCAGAGCCATTGAGCTCTGTAAAGCCGCATTTGACAGGGTATGCCAGCCACAATCTCATCCATATTGCTATAAAATATAGCATCCTGTGTAGAATTCAAATAGCTCCGATACATTTTGTGGTCTGCGCCTACTCTCGCATGTGATCCGCTCCGTGCTATCGTGTCTCTGGAGCAGAGTGTGTGTGCGGTGCGGTGCGGTGGTTAGCGTGGCGCGAAACCAGACTTCTTTTTTCTTCAATGGAAAGCATATTTACACTGTTTGAATCGTTCCCTGTCCCCTATATAGTGCACTTCGGATTCTATAGAGCATTTGATTGGACAGAAAGTTTGATGAGAAGCTTAAGTACGATGTGACGTCACAAAAAAAAATCGTTGAGCCGTTTTGGCGGAAGTGACGAACTGCAAGCTTTGAATGCTTATATCTTCTAAATGCAAATTTTGTCACTGTTTTGGAGCACACTGCCTTATAGATAACCTTAAGACTAACATATTGATACTAACACCAAAAAAACTTTAATTTTGATTTCATGGGGACTTTAAAGATTAGGCTACCACCAGTTTTATAGAACGTATATTTAACAGACCACAAAAGCAACATGATCTCATAGGTTTTTTTTTTTTTCATAAAGTATGGTTTTAACACACATTACGTTTCAATAGACAATAGACAATGAGACAATAGACAATGAGACGCACAATATTGACAGCATCTAAAACGTAAATTATTTACGCATGAACAACTTTACAGACATAGGCTACCAATGAATCCTAATTGTCACGAATCCGGTCCATGAACTTCCGTCTGCTAGCCATCAGAGGTCACCCTTTCCATTTTCATTGACTCTCGCACTACACACTGTTGCATATCATCCCGGACTACATATCCCATCATTCACTGCACTGATTGCACACAGCACTGATTGCACACAGCTGTTTCATATCACTCACTCACTATTTAACACTCACTCTGATCCCTTCCTGGGGCCGAGTATTGTTTAGCACTTATCAGTTGATAGCTACACTACAGAGCCCTTGTTAGCCGCCTAGCCTAGCCTAGCCTTGCCTTGCCTTGCCTGTTTTCTCTGTTTCTGATCTTCGCCTGTTTTCCTGGATTTACCCCTTTAGTCTTGCCCCTTTTGACTCTGTTAGCCGTTCGTCGACCTTCACTAGCCCTAGGATTATTCTTGTGTCTTGCCCGCCATATACCTGTTTGCCATTTGTTCGACCCTGCCTGTGTTTCTGACCTCTCTGCTGAATAAAGCTTGCATATGGATCCGCACGTCTCACGTCTTGTCAGCCCCGTTACACTAATGAATATTGAGAACTTGGCATTAACATTTTATGTTGTAGTCAGTTTCCATATAAATAGCATTTTCAATTGCATTTATTAAACAAAGTTGACTTAATATGAAATAATTTCCCATTTTGTTCTGTTTGACGTCTCGTTTAAAGGATTACAAAATGGTAAATTATAAATAAGTTTTTAGCTGTAAATACATAATAATGTTTACTTTTTAGACATTGTACAGCACTGTTTGATTTTACATTGCCCAAGACAACTCTTTCAACATTATTACTGTAGAAACTTAATGGCTTTTGTATAGATGACTGTGCTGTTTTTTTTGTTCCCCTGCCCCCTCTTCCCTCTCTGACTCTGTTGCCATTTCCTTACAAGGCAATTGTCTTGTCTGGAAAGTTTATTTTTACATTCTTTTCATAGGATTAAAGTAATTCCTTTCAGCTGTGGACCTGTATCAGTGACTCAGAGGTTTAAAAATAGTCTTGGAGGAATGTGATTCTGAAAGCAATAAGAAAATGTGAAATGTCATTTACATGGTAAAACAAATAACTGCAGGCCAGACAAATCAAACTAACTTTACTTTTTATTTAGATTAGGCCAGTGACACAATATGTGACATTTTTACTACTGTATGCAATACATCATTAAATGTTGTAACTGGGTTTAAATTGCATTATATGCTAACTGCTTTAGAAGCCTGTCTTATAATTAATCCCTTGTATTTAAAGATGTCTCCATCTTTTAACAGTGCTATAACATTGCAGCAGGGGTGTCTCCACAATGACACAGTTCCCAATTGCAACTGCCAGGTAATTAACACCTGCACACATTTTGCCAGCTTGTTAAATCATAGCTGTACCACATAGTAGCAGCTGATAAATATTGCAGAAGATGTATCCTGATTAAAAGACAACTAAAATATAAGCTATTATTTAAAAACGTAAGATAAACCCTAACAGACCCAAGCTGATGCTGATTATGTATTATTATTACGCCTTTAAACTTGCCTGTAGCACATCACTGGTTATAAAAATCGTGATTTTTATACATATTTTGTTTTGTGTAAATTTTTTGGTGTTGCAATATTGAAAACCATTTCACTACTACATACAAACTACAAGCAGTTATGCTTTGACCTTCTTGAGGCGACATCCCAGCAAGCTACGAGACTAAAATGTGGATATGTTTATCTCAGAGTCTCTATCACTCTGTACACTTTAATGATCCTGGAGCATTCCCACACTTCACCACGCCCTTGTAAAGTATCTGAAAATGCATATTTAAGGACCTACAGTGTTGCATTAACCTCTATAAAACTCTTCTCAGTAAACTAGGTTGACACTTCATTTAGTTAATCTCAGTACATTCAAAAATCATTTGGAGTATATTAATGATTTATATAGGATATGGTAATATTAAACTAAACTAAAAAATAAAATACAAATGTATTGGCTGCAGAAAGCCACTGTTGCATTTTCTTTAATCACTAAACATTCAATGTTGGCATTTTTTAGTCACTAAACTTGAGAATTGTAAAAAAAAAAAGTATTACAGGTTTAATGCTTAGAAGTTTCCAATAAAGTCAGCAATGGTTTTAATCGTGTTGCCACCATGTTGTGTGACTTTGGCATGCTGGGAGATTGAAAATACTTTACAGCTGCTGTTTTATGCTTTTTTAACTCGAAGTTAGTTATATAAAATATAAAGCAACATTGTTTAATTTCTTTTTAAATATGATAATTGGCTACAGTGGATGTCAATAAAATCAATTAAAAAAATCTGATTACAGTACATACTAGATTTTGAATAACTCCGCAATTATCCAAAATAATTATCTAGGAATGTGTCAAGGAAAGTCATCTGAGCACCATATGTTAAAAAGTTATAAAAATGACTACCACAAGAGGGCGCTGTCAGGCTAGCAGAACATCTAGTATGTGAACTTTGTGAACTATCCTTCCATTCAGTGCTGGATGCCTATGGAGGAATCTGGACCAACAGATACGTGCTGCCCTGTGGGCCCACCAGTGGAAAAAAAGTGCTTGCTGGTGGCCTTTGTGCAGAAAAAAATCCTCTTTTGTTTCGAACATACTCTTGTCCCTCTCTGGTCTGCATCAGCATTGTGGACTTTGGGCATATGCTGAACTCTGGAAAAGCTCCTGAGTCATCATCATGGCCTGAACTATTGTATGGGGAGATTTAGCAGGGGTTATTGACCAGCAACTCACACAACTGGCAGCTCATGCTCTCTCTCTCTCTGCCTATACAAACACACAAGCACTCATTCTCACATACAAATGGTTAAAAAACATGTGTGGTATGTATATTCATGTGATCAGGTACTGGTAGCAAAAACAAAATTCCTGACCTCAGCGTCAGTACTGCAAAAAGCCTGAAGAGGCAGTTTATTTTTAAACCATTTATTTCAACCTGATTCTTCATCTGTCATGTAGATTATAAATAAACTTTAAATAAACTCATGAGTGTTTACATGCAACTGTATTTATCAAATATATTTAAATTAATTCATTGTTTATTTATTTATCGTAAAATGTACAGTTTGTCATGACAGTACTAAAATGTAAATGTAAATTCTGGTTTATTGTATTCTATGAAATGTAACAGAAGTAAAAAATTTTACATTTTAAAATCTAAGTTTGTAAGAGACCATTCAGAAGCAATAAACCAACAGAGGGGAGTATTGAGTTATATCAACAGCAGATGCTGAAAGCTATGAGAAGACAATTAATAAATATATTAAAAAATGGTTAACATTTGACACACACACACACACACACACACACACACACACACACACACACACACACTTATTTATTTATTTTATTTAATATAGGGTCAGTAAACTTGAGGGTCAGTAAGGTGAGGGTAAACTATCCCTTTAATACTTTTATTAAGCAATGACACATTAAATTGCTCAAAAGAGACAGTAAAGACAATTATAAGGTAACACATTAGTTACATTTCAAATAAATGCTGTTCTTTTGAACTTTCTATTCATCAAAGAATCCTAAACAAAATGCATAAGCGTAAAACCAAGTCAGCATATTAGAATGATTTCTAAATGATATTGTGACACTGAAGACAACAGTATTGGCTGCTGAAAAGTAATCTTTGTTATCACAGGTATAGATATATTAAAAAAAAAAATTAAAATAGAAAACAATTGTAATAATATTTCATGACATTGCTTTTTTTTAAATTTAAAGTAATATAAAAATTCCATGGTCTTTATTTAAATGCTTTGTTTGAAGACCAGCTGACTTTAGAGTGGAACAAAATAAACCAGGAGACTGGAGCTTTGGGAGCGCTCAGTGTCATTTTTTATTAAATAGTTAAGGAACAATTAACTACACACTGAAAGACCTAAAACTCCTGAACACGGCGGATGGAGCCGACAGTAGGATGCATGGCACTCCAGTCAGTGAAGTGGCGGAACTCGCCTCTCTCCAACAAATACTGACGTCCCCTGTAGTTAGGATGCTCATAGAAGACCCAGGCCCCATCCAGAACGTTACAGGACTGTACCTCACGGTGACGGAAGCGGTCATAGAGAGAGGGCCAGTCCTCACTGCACTCCATAATCTGACCCTGGAAGTCAGGCCGCTCATACAGACGGATACGGAAAATGCCAGTATGCTACAAAAGAGAGAGTGGATAGCCAAATACCATTACAATGCATTGATTTCTTATAGGCCATTTACTGTAGAATGAGCAAAATCATATCTAGAATCACCTAAAATTATATTAATGGGGCATTGAATTATTTAAAAAATTATTTCAGTTTATGCATACTGGGTTTTTTGTTTAAACCCCCTCCAAGATCAAAATAAACTTCCAGTGGGGAACAATAGAGTGTTATTCCACATCTGCCAGAGTTTAGGGCCAATACTGCTGTTCCTGAATGGTTAGTGTGGCATACAGTATATGTTGGTGTGGGCAACCGTTTTTGCTGAAAAGGAGGAACATAGACCTGTATTGGGCTAAATAGCCCAGCTATGTTTCTCCAAACAGGCATGACTTACATTTCGCACCATGCGGCAAGACCTTATAGAGTCATTGTATCCCATCCAGTGCTGGTAATCAGGATACTCTCCCCTGGTTAGGATGTACTGGCAGCCCATGAAGTTTGGACGTTCATACAAAACCCAGGCCCCACTTTCAACTTGGATGGAGTTACAGCGGCTGAAGTGGGATGACAGCTCTGGGCAGTCCTTGCTGCACTCAAAGCAATGTCCCTGAAAGTTTTTGTCCTCATAAAAGATAATTTGTATGGGAGAAGATGTAGAAACATAGTTAAGCCAAGGAAAAGATTGCAGAGCCAGTTTATGCAAGCAAAATATGTCTTACTTTTCCCATTTTGTCCATATTTGGGGTTAATTTCATTCCTCCTTTTGATGTATTCTTTGTATTGAAAGGGCAATGAGCGAGATTTATATGTTTCACATTGAGTTGCTCTGCCAGGCATTGTTATATGAATGGCCGCAACAACTGCATCATCAAAAGCCGATACTGCGATTGTTTCTAGATTGTTCCTGCAGATTAATGCAGTGGCCATTGTATGAAACCCTGTCCTTTTGATTCTGCAATGGCTGAGTCCAGAAAATATTTATTGGGCTAATTAAATTGTTTTCCAGATGCTGGTACTGGCATAGTTGGAGCAGCATTGGCATCAAGCCACATGTTCATATTGAATAAGGTGTAACACATGCCAAATGAACTGATGCATTTGTGTTTGTACGCTGCACCCCAAACTCTTGCTCTACTGTCAGACAGAAGTGTAAACCGAATATTAAAACAAGGCATTGGCTATTTACTGTATACTAAGTTTAAAACAGGTTACATTGTAAATAGTGGTATATACTGTTGCATTAAGTACAAATAACAACACATACCATATTTCCATATATCATAAATAAAGAGAGATGCTATGTAAATAAAAATAATAAAGTTATATGCTATTATAAGGTAAAAATGGAATTATACAAATTGTTACGCAATTATAAAGTAAAATATCTAATCAGAGTGTGTGGAATTACTGAAAATAGCTTTTTGCTCTGTCTAAATACACATTGTCTGATAAGAACATTATATATAGAATGTTGTATTATATATATAACTTCCTTTAATCTTATATACAGTAAATGTAATATAATCTGATAAAACTGATTGTGATTTGCTTTGTAAGTTGCTCAGGAATTGGACTGCTGTTGTTGTTTGTCTGATTTATGTCAGAGTCAGACAACTCTTGTTCAGTGGGTTTGGTTTAAGAAAATATAAAATACGTAAAACTTACTTGAAACCATTTCTGCTCAAGAGCTGCACACACTGTATGAACTCACAAATACCACTCAGTGCTCAATATCACACTGTGTTTGTTCATTTAGGCCAGAGGACAACTGGTCCTTGACTGAGGATGGTTTCTCCCAAGGTTTTATTTTTTCTCCATTTCTGTCACCTGATTGAGTTTGGGCTCCTTGCCATCATTGCCTTTGGCTCGTTTAGTTGGGGGTCTAAAGACACTTAATATTCAGTAATATTATCACATTGACGCTGTAGGAAGGGAACACCACTAGAATGTAACTGAACTGAGCTGAATAATGACACTATTGTCTTCTGTAGAGCTCCTTTATAGCAGCATCAAATTTGTTCATAATTGATGAATCTTACAACATCAACACTGTTATTGAACTGAATTGAATTAACATTCAAAATTAAACTGAATAACAACACTACTGTTGCTAAAACTTACTAAAGCACTATAAAAATAAAGGTGACGATTTGATTTTACAAAGCAGTCATTCATAGAACTATAAATGATAAACTAGCTTGAAAGAATGTTTTTTTACTTAATAAGTTAGGAGTATTTCAGCTTTATATTGTTTTATGGCAACCAGACAAAAATAGACACAACTCACATAAATGAATGCCTCTTCAAATTATTTTATTTTTCAATATTTTTCAGTAGTAGTGACAACAAGTTTTCAATTCAACAGTCTGTGGTGACCTGACGAACAGAGCCCACAGTGGGATGCATGGCCCCCCATTCAGTGTGGCGTCTGTACTCTCCCTTCTCAAGGAGGTACTGACGGCCACTGTAGTTTGCATGCTTGAAGAACACGCAGGGACCTTCCTGGACCTTGCAGGAATGGATCTCTCTACAGAGGAAACGTTCCTGAATGGACGGGGTGCTTTCTGTAACTTCCCATGTTTGGCCATCAAAATTGGGCCTCTCAAAGAGCTTCAGCTTGAGATGTCCAGTAACCTGAAGGAAACACAAATGATGTTCCTATGTATACACCTAATCACACTGTTTACTTATTACTCACTGAGAGCAATTCAAAGTGATCATGTGTGTTGCCATTGGACTTACATGCCTGAGTAGACGACAAGATCGGACACAATCACTGAAGCCAATCCAATGATGATAATCTGGATACTCCCCTGGGGTCAGAATATACTGATAGCCCATGTAGTTTGGCCACTCATACAGCACCCAAAAGCCCCCCTTCACCTTTGCAGAATTACAGCGGCTAAAAAAAGAATGAAGGTCACTTGTGTCTCCCTTACACTCATAGGACCTTCCCTGGAAGTTCCTGTCTTCATAGAACACAATCTGTCAGACAAAACACAACACTGATAGTTTGCATTGTGCTAAAACATCATGACAAACTGTGGGACACAGACAATCAGGGAGAAAGAGGCACTTACACTCTCAGTTGCCATTGTCAGATGTGAAATGTTGGATAGCAAACCGTGCTGTAGTCTCTTTATACAATCCTGAACAAAGGCACAGGTTGTAAAAAATGTAATCAGCAATTAAAAAAAAAAATCTAAGCTATTGTTCTAAAGCACTGAATCATAGATTCGTTCAACAATAAAATTGTGAGTACCAAGCATCCCAACCTCAGTCAATAAACCCCAAGCTCAGGCTTGTACAACATGCCACTACGCATTGACTAAACTGTTTGTCTACTTAGCCAGCTCAGGCTGATTATTTATCTTACTACAGAAATATGCATTCAAATGTTTGCCAACAGCACCCTCACACTATCAGCTATAGCAAAATCACTGTTATGAATGGCAACCATGGCATCCATCAAGGAGGGTTTAGAGGCCAAGCACTGGTGTTGAGGCATATACTGTGTCTCTTAGGGGCCATTCACACAATGGAATGCAAGCTCTACAGTAGAGACATTTTTTTAAAAAGTTTAATTTCTTTTTACTGTCATGTGCAAGACTCGAGTGCAAAAGTCAAACATGTCTGACTATTTACATATGGAAATGGAAAAGTGGCGCAATAGAATGCAAAAAGATGTCCTGTGTGGACAGCCCTCTTATTTTACAGATACTAGAACTGTATGATAAAAACTTTTTGCACAATTTTTCATAGTTCTTGGGTAGTGTCTGAAAACATCCCTTTTATTACATTTTTATTTGCTAATAGCATTTGAAACAAATATACAATACATTTTTTTCTAAAAAAAAAAAAAAAAACACTTGAAATTATTATTAAAAAAATTCAGGGTGCATCAATCAAAGATTAAAAAAGTACATTACATACTTTAATGTTTCATTAAAGAGAGATCATCATAAGATTACTGTGGTAAAAGTGAAAATCTTTTGATACACAAAATCGTTTTTCATGTAAAGTCTCCGCAAATCAGACAGTGAGGAAGTAAAGCTATATTTACATACTGATCAATAAATCTCAAACAAAATTATATCTTTTGGTAACACTTTACATTAAGGTTCCCTTTATGAAGGGAAAACACTATTTATAATGTTTAGAAATGTGTTTATAAATGACTAATAACTAATTTACAAATGCATTATAAATAATTGATAAGCAGTTATAAATGCAAATAAAAAGGGTGATTTTAATGCAATACCTGTCAAATAGTGAGCCATTTTAACTCACATGTTATAAATGCTTAATAAATACATTTATTCATACTTTTTCACTCAAAACCAGATTCCTGATTTATTTTATGATGCAGCAAAAATAGACTATTATATAGAGACTGAAGTATTTTGTATTTATGTTTTTCTCATTTATATCTCATGACTCATATTTTCTCATATCTCATGTCACTTTTCTTACGATTTTTCTTACCAGAAGCTACTCTGTATCTTACCTATGATTCTCCGCAAAAGTCGCCTGTCCACAGTAATGATATAAAACTGACAGGGGACATAAAAACACAACCATGACTTCATGAAATATTAATAATGAAAATTTTAGTTCCAATATTAGTTACTTGTGAACCTTAATGAAAAGTGAACACCTGTGAATCATTTATTAATGAGCTATCAAAGTTAGTAACCTGTGAAAGTGCACCTTAATGTAAAGTGAACAACTTTGAACCATTTATTAATGAGTTATAAATGTTAATAATGTCTAAAAGTGAACGTTAATATGAAGTGAACACATGTGAACCATTAATTAATGAGCTATAAACGTTAGTAAACTGTGAAAGTGAACCTTAATGTAAAGTGAACACCTGTGAACCATTTATTAATGAGTTATAAATGTTAATAACCTGTGAAAGTGAACCTTAATGTAAAGTGAACACCTGTGAACCATTTATTAATGAGTTATAAATGTTAATAACCTGTGAAAGTGAACCTTAATGTAAAGTGAACACCTGTGATCTATTTTTTAATGAGTTATAAATGTTAAAGTCTAAAAGTGAACCTTAAAGGGGTCCTATTATGCTTTTTCACTTTTTGAATTTTAGTCAGTGTGTATAGGGTGTATGTTGGGGCATAAAAAAGATCTTCAAACTTACAAATCTCAAAGTCCACTCCAAAGGGAGATATTTCGTTTTAAAAAAATCCCTTTTCAAGAACTACAACGAATGGCTCGTTTGGACTACAGCGTTTGTTTTCCGGGTTTTGTGATATCACAAAGTGGCCCATTAGAATATCATTAAAATAATTCCCGCCTACGGAAATTCGAATGGTTGGGGGGTGGGGAGGGGCAAGGTCGTGGTTAGAACGCTTGGTTGAGTGCATCAGACAAGACGACGAGGAAGAAGAAGTGCTGCTGTATTCTCAAGTTTTCGCAAGTTATTACACATGCACCTGAATAATTATGTATGTAAATATGTATGTTACAATTATGAAATGTTTTTATAATAAATTGCTGACAGTACAATACTGGACAATGATGTAATCTGCAGAATTTACACTTCAATTTTGAGACTACAGTGTTTCCCATACATTGAGTGCGGGTGTTTTTATATCACTGTATTTCTGAAGGAAACCGACTGTCTTCAGAAAAATGGATGTCATTTTCATTGAATCTTGCATGCAATGTCTGATAAAGCAGTGTTTTTTGAGCGGAGCGCTGCTTTGTGTACAGCCATTACTGGAGAAACCTTGCTCTCTACCACTCCAACAGCACCTCCTGCTGGCAGAGAATGAGTTTGCATATATATGCCGCCTGGGAAACACTGGACTATGGTATAAATAAATTCAACTGTATAACAGTTTCACTGCAATTCATGTTATAATGTTAGAGTTACATAACAATAAAAATAATACATATGCACTTATCTGTACATAGTAAATGCAGTTATTTTTAAGCGGTTGTTGACATCCTATCTAAAATGTGATTAAAAGCTTTTGTTGAAAGACGGAGCAAGGGGCGTGGCAGTACTGAAACACCGTCTAAGCTGTTCGCCAATCACAAAGCACTGGGACAGCTAACCAATCACAACACATTTCGTTTTTCGGAAGGCGGGTCTTCATCAAAGCCGGAACTAATCGAACCGTTTGTGCCAGGATGGGGATAAAGGTATTGTAATAATGTAAATTATGTAAAAAATAATGCGTATTTTGAACCACCAAACATGAGAGCATGTTCTAGTACACCCCCAAAACAAATTCAAGACATTGTAACAGAGCATAATAGGACCCCTTTAATGCAAAGTGAACATGTGAGAACCATTTATTAATGAGCTATAAGCGTTGATAATGTCTAAAAGTGAACCTTAATGTAAAGTGAACACATTTGAACCATTTATTAATGAGTAATAAACGTTAATGAACACCTGTGAACCATTAATTAACGTTATAAACGTTAATGTCTAAAAGTGAACCTTAATATAAAGTGAACATGTGTGAACAATTTATCAATGAGCTATAAACGTTAGTAACCTGTGAAAGTGCATCTTACTGTAAAGTGAACACCTGTGAACCATTTATTAATGAGTTATAAACGTTAGTAACCTGTCAAAGTGAACCGTAAAGTGAACACCTGTGAACCATTTATTAATGAGAATATGTCTTGCAATATCCGTGCGTGCAAAGGTCTGCGCGATCCTCTTGTTCAATATTCTCTGGGTCTGAATCCGGCTCAAATTGATATGGCAATATTGACGCCATCCTTAACTAAACCGGAGCAGACGGAACTTGCTGCTTTGGCAAGGGGCGGGGCAGTACTGAAACACCATCTAAGCTGTTCGCCAATCACAAAGCACTGGGACAGCTAACCAATCACAACACATTTCGTTTTTCGGAAGGCGGGTCTTCATCAAAGCCGGAACTAATCGAACCGTTTGTGCCAGGATGGGGATAAAGGTATTGTAATAATGTAAATTATGTAAAAAATAATGCGTATTTTGAACCACCAAACATGAGAGCATGTTCTAGTACACCCCCAAAACAAATTCAAGACATTGTAACAGAGCATAATAGGACCCCTTTAATGCAAAGTGAACATGTGAGAACCATTTATTAATGAGCTATAAGCGTTGATAATGTCTAAAAGTGAACCTTAATGTAAAGTGAACACATTTGAACCATTTATTAATGAGTAATAAACGTTAATGAACACCTGTGAACCATTAATTAACGTTATAAACGTTAATGTCTAAAAGTGAACCTTAATATAAAGTGAACATGTGTGAACAATTTATCAATGAGCTATAAACGTTACGTTAGTAACCTGTCAAAGTGAACCGTAAAGTGAACACCTGTGAACCATTTATTAATGAGCTATAAACGTTAATAATAATGTCTAAAAGTGAACCTTAATGTAAAGTGAACACATTTGAACAATTTATTAATGAGCTATAAACGTTAGTAACCTGTCAAAGTGAACTTTAACGTAAAGTGAACACGTGTGACCAATTTATTAATGCGCTATAAACGTTAATAAACTTTGAAAGTGAACCTTAAAGTAAACTGAACAACTGTAATCCATTTATTAATGAGTTATAAACGTTAGTAACCTGTGAAAGTGAACCTTAATGTAAAGTGGACACACTAATCAATTATTTATTGATTATTATTGCACACACAGAAAAAGTTGGTATTTTTCTGGTGAAATGTATTTGATTGTTGTTGCACTATATCAATAAACAATGTTTAAATTGAAAAAGATTAATCTTTTCTTTTACATTACTGAGTATAACTTCACACTAAAAGTGGCTTATGCAAGTAAACTCACATTAAACAATTCAGAAAAACAATCAAGTATCTCATCAAAGTATAACTAAGCATCACATCTAAACAATATAAATATTTGATAAATGCAAGTTCAATAAAGGCAACTAAATATTTACAATTTAGTGAAATATTCCCTAAATTGTAGGGACATGTAGGCTACGGGAAACAGAGAAGATGTTGAATTAAACATACACACAATCAGCTTTTCCACATGTTTATACTGGCCCCGATAATCAAAACTTCTACTTAGTGCTTGCTCCATTTCTGCAAATCTGTTTTTGTGAATGAATGACTTAATCCACCTGTTGCTTTGGTCTTTTGTGCCACCTGCTGGTGAGCGACTGACAGCAGCTGGAGATCATGCATCGGTGCTCTACTGCAATTCCTGCAGCTCCCGGATGTGCAATGCCGAATTTTTTGCTGAATTTTAACCACTGAATTTGTGGAAGCGAATTTGGAAAGTGAAATAAAATGGACCGAAATTTGCCTGT